CGGGGGGGTCCCCCCGCGTCTCCGTACTGTCCCCCCGCGCTCTCTGGTCCTCCTATTTTACCATATTTTTTTTTTTTTTTTACAAAATTTTTAATTACTAAGCTTTTAATTATAATATGTCATGATAATGCAGACCCATAGACACAAAGTAATTTCAACGAGACACACACACACACCTTGCTCGGGGGTAAACACACCGCACCCGCCGCTCACTCTCGGCCGGTGGCCGTGGCTCTAGGCAACAACAATGGCGAAGCCACGATTCGCTTCGGATGCGATTGCCTACTATTGCGCTCGAAAAAGTTCGGTTCGTTTCACCGTCCTCTGTGTTCATCGTCCATAACATACGCCTGCCCATACCATAACCCCACCACCACGGGCCACTCGATTCACAACATTACCCTAACCCTAACCCTTACACCAGATACTGACTGGTTTTCGGACCCCCCCAGACCCCCCCAATAAAGCAAAAATGCACGTTTCAGAGTGGCCTTTTATTGTGGCCAGCCTAAGGCACACCTGTGCAATAATCATGCTGTCTAATCAGCATCTTGATATGCCACACCTGTGAGGTGGGATGGAGAATCTCGGCAAAGGAGAAGTGCTCACTATCACAGATTTTTTCAGATTTGTGAACAATATTTGAGAGAAATGGTTATTTTGTGTAAATAGAAAATGCTTTAGATCTTTGAGTTCATCTCATGAAAAATGGGAGCAAAAACAAAAGTGTTGCATTTATATTTGTGTTCAGTGTATGAAAACAACATAAGCTCTTCAATTAGTAAAACCCTGAAAGGGAACATTTAGCTGCATTATAAATAATTGTCATGCTTTGAAAACATTTCCGATTATACGATTAAACGTATCTTACTTTTGGTTTTGAATGCAGAACCTTTACTCGTAATAGATTATGTTCATCCAAAGTGCTAGTGATGACTTGTGTGCAGAATCATCTGGTACACATACCAGTCTTGGGTAAAAAAAACTTTAAAAAATCAGGAAGTTAATCACAGTGTAAAACATGGCATGTCCTATTGCTGTTTGTGTTACACTTATTAACACCAAGGGAGTGTGTGTTGTAGAGTGGGACCCCCCAGAGCCAGAGCCTTTCTACAAGGCCACAGGACATGAGAGGACCCCCATACCAGCAGGAGATGAGAGGGGCAAAGTGGTGTACTGCATTGACCATGGTAACTAAGGCTTTTTTTTTGTACCACCAGGTTACATGGTGTGTTGTGTCGTCACAGTGTTACCAACACTTAATGCTTAACAAAGGAATACTTTGAGTTACTTCGTTCTACCTATTCCCCTCGGAGAGTAGTTGATCTGTTTCAATTTAAAGGCCTTTTATAGCAAATAATGGAATACTTGTGACAACCTAATTCCTTAGTGCTTTAAGATTTGCACTGATATTACATTTTAAGTGCTATATAACAATCCCCAAGTGTTGTTTACAGGTTATTATGGGGAGAGTTGTGTTGGGCCTTTACATAGCTTAAGTGTTTCTGCTCAGCAGTGTTACAAAAGGTTTATCCTTTATTAGTTACAGTGCAGACATGTGCAGTGATACAGCAGGAAAAGGGATAGTGCAAATCAAAGAAGCATCAGTCAACTCTAATAAATAACCAAGTTAACAATATAAAACTAAATATAGTAAGTAGAGAGACTGAACAGTTGTGTTATCGTAGATAATAACAGAGAAATCATTTTCTGGATAAACAATGTAACCCTCTACTGCTCTCTGAAAAACAATGCAAGTCCATCCATACTTTTGATATGAACTTTTTCTTTTTTTTCTTTCCCTTTAAAAAGCCACCAAGCGTCCCTTCTTCTCCTGCTCCCGTGTCGGAGGAAACAGGGGGCCCATTAAGAGCGCCACTTCATATGACAATCAGACAGACTTCACCCTTGAGTTTGAGTCACGCTTTGAGAGTGGAAACCTCCAGAAGGCGGTGCAAGTGTGAGTCTCCGCAGCTTCATCTACTGATTAGCAGCTTTTTAACCATTACTGTATTTGTAAGTTATTACTGTGGTTCTAGCTTAATTTACACTCTTTCTCTCTGTTCCCCCCCACATCTCTTCTTCCCTGTGCAGGGGAGTCTATGACTATGAGCTCACCCTGCACACAGACTTGTACACCAGGAAGCACACACAGTGGTTTTACTTCAGGGTCAGGAACATGAAGGCTGGAGTGCCATACCGCTTCACTATCGTCAACTTGATGAAGAGCAGCAGCCTGTATGTTCAGGGTATGAGACCACTCCTCTACTCAGAGAGGGCCGCCGAAGAGAAAGGTGTTGGATGGCTACGCACCGGCGCCAATATCAGATACTACCGCAACTGCCAGCAGGTAAGGGAAGTGAGTTTTAAAAATCAAAAAAGGCGTCAAGACTGGATTTTTATTAAATAAACCCATTCTCTACTAGCTGTGATTTCCGTTTATGAATTAAGAATGAATATATTTTGCTCAGCTTTTATGTTTTATTTTAAAGTTGTGTTTTCAATACATGAAAGTCCAATGAATGAGTCCTTCCACCCATTACCAAGAGAACAAAATGAGAAAAAATCAACTGAAGTTCATTAAATTGCCCCAACCAGTGATAAATCTTTGTTGGTGTTTCCTATAAAAATAATAATAATATAAATGCTCTGACTCCCCAGTGTCATAAATGAACAAACACCGAAAGTAGAAGATTCAAACTAAAAGGAATTGTAAGATAGAAACAGTGAAGGAAAAAGGGACGGTGTTTTGCCTCGGCATCATATAAACTGAAGCAAAATATTATATTAATATTAATTAACTGCTCCTGTGGGTATTGTCCACAGTATTGAATGTATTACATGTCTAATAAGTAACATGAAATATAATGTTAAGCGTTTTGAGCAATTGGAAAAAGTGCTAAATAAATAGCATGAATTATTCGTATTAGCACCCACCTTTGATCCAGACATCCCACTGAGTGATTAAATATACATTCAGAACATTGTATATCGTTTTTTGTACTTAGGATATGCATGTGCAAATGTTTGGCTCAAAAATGTACCTATAAGGGTCTGTGAAAGTAAATGTAGAAACCTCTTTTGTCTATCAAACATAACGCACATCAGAAAAGAATGACTTCCCTCAATTGTTATTATTATCTGTCTCGTTTTAGAATACAAAAGACAACAACAGCGATACCCCCCCCCTGTTCTCACTCACCTGGACTCTCCAGTTCCCTTCTGACTCTGACACCTGCTACTTGGCCCACTGCTACCCCTACACCTACTCCCACCTGCAGCGCTACCTGAGGCGCGTCTCTTCCAACCCAGCCGTCGCGTCATACTGTTCACTGAGGGTGCTGTGCCACAGCCTCGCTGGGAATGCTGTGTATGTGGTGACGATAACGTCCCGGGCGGGCAGCAGGGTGGAGGGTAGGACTAAGAAGGCCGTGGTGGTGACGGCCCGAGTGCACCCTGGAGAAACCAACGGGTCCTGGATGATGGAGGGGTTCCTAGACTTCCTGCTCGGGGACTCAAAGGATGCTCAGCTACTCAGGGACACTTTTGTTTTTAAGGTGAGGGACTTAAAGCTCCTTCCCTCACATCTCTCTTTATATCATCATTATGAATTCAATATTAAGTCATTTGTGATATTTCCAAAAAGTAATTTTATAAAGTTGGATTAATTAAGATAAGATACAAATAAGAAGTACTTTAGTGATCCCAATTTGGGAAATGTTTGCGTTGCAGCAGCATAAAAAGACATGGCATTGTACATTGGAGAAATTCAAAGACTAGAAATAAACAATCCAAAATGTAAACATCTCAAATAGAAATGAAATAGCAATAAAAAAGTAAAAAATATACATGTGGAAATACAAATGTACAGTAACAAAATATAAAGCAGATATTTTATATAATTGATATTAGGATGTTGTAATTGATAAGTCTTGTGATTTGTTTAAATGCTGTTATGCTATCCAAATAGCTTTTTCCTCATTGTTTTTGTGGTGCTGCAGGTGGTGCCGATGCTGAACCCAGATGGTGTGATCGTGGGTAATTACCGCTGCTCTCTAGCAGGCAGGGACCTGAACAGAAACTACAAGACCCTGCTCAGGGACTCCTTCCCCTGTGTGTGGCACACCCTAAACATGGTGGAAAGGTAGCACAGAACACATGCATGAACAAAACACATTTAAACACACACTCAGAATCAAGTTTATTGCCAGGTACGTTTACACATACAAGGCATTTGATTTGGTATCTGGTTGTGCCAACATAAACAATCAAAGAACATAAGTTGCAATAGTAAGTAAAAAAAGTTTAGCATTAAAAAGGAATACTAAAGACAAGTATTTATAACACAGTTAAATACACAAAGAACCTTAAAAGCTAATAAACAAAAACACGTAGGACAATGAACATATGACAATATATGGCAAACTACAGTGGATTATATTTTCCTACATAGAAAACAACTTGTATTGCATGCAGATGTACAATGTGTTCTCATCAGTCTTTAGCTTTATGTCAAAGTCAACTTTAATGTCAATCTGTTTACAGACAGAGAGATCAAAATGACGTTTCCAACAATCCCGAATGTAAAATCATACATATGTATAAAAATATGTATACAATAAGTATATCCTATATACACAATCAACCGACACATTTACACATATGCACACATTAAGATAAAAAAAAAACCACAACAGTCAATATATACAAAATAACAGTCACTTCAATATCAATATCTTTGGTGCAAGATTGTCCATAAAATGTGCATTTATTAAAGATTGTCCATAGCAGCGTAAAAAACAAACAATTGTGTCCAGTGGGGGCAGGGGGGAGAGAGGGGAGCGAGTTCAGCCTCCTGACAGCCTGGTGTAAAAAGCTGTTCTCTAGTTGTGCTCGACCTCAGGCTGCGGAACCTCCTCCCTGAAGGCAGGAGGGTGAAGAGGCAGTTGGAGGGATTGGTGGGGTCACCAAAAATTCTGAGTGCTCTGCGGGTGAGGCGGGTGTTATAAATGTCCAGGAGTGATGGGAGTGAGGCACCGATGATCCTCTCAGCGGTGTTCACGACGCGCTGCAGGGTCTTGTGGTTCGATGCTGCGCAGCTTCCGAACCACACCGTGATGCAGCTGCTGAGGATGCTCTCGATGGCGCCTCGGTAGAAGGAGAGCATGATGGAAGCTCCTGCTCTCTTCTGTTTGCGGACAAAGTAGAGGTGCTGCTGGGCTTTCTTGGTGATTGACGTGGTGTTGTTACTCCAGGAGAGGTCCTCGGTGATGTGCACCCCCAAGAATTAGGTGCTGCTCACCTGCTCCGCAGCAGTACCACCGATGGTCAATGGATGGACCCCCATCCATTGACCATCGGTGGTACTGCTGCGGAGCAGGTGAGCAGCACCTAATTCTTGGGGGTGCACATCACCGAGGACCTCTCCTGGAGTAACAACACCNTGTGAGAGGCCACTTGACGGTTATTGGACCGTTGAGGACGATGTTTGAGGAGTCGTTGGAAGATTGGCAGTGAAGGTGAGGTGTGGAAGACTGTATGAGACACTATTGTTCTTAAGCTTCTCCCGACCATGGGACCGAGCCATCATCTCACATGCGACTGTGTATAACTAAGATTTATATAGAATTATAATCAATAATTACAGTATTGGTTTTACAACCACAATTGTAAAGATAAAGGATTATGTCTGACTAGGTGAGTTCGAAGTTTGTACTTTAAAGTATGTCCGAGATCACCTGGGTACGTCGACAGGGACATTAATTGTCCCATCGGGGTAGTGAGGGGTGGATCCAGTTTTGACTAACAAGTTAGTCACCTTGGGGATTGCCGTGCGCTGTCCAAAAAAACAATCAGACGCTATATACATCTAGCGTCACCGATACACCTCCTCACTAATCCCTCACCACTTCAGACGACTACTAGGCAAGTGTCAGCAGACTTACCTACCTGAACAGATGATAAATTATAGATGACCCTATCATGATATCCGTAAACACCACCACCGCAACAAGTGTCCCTCCTCGGTTTACAGGGGGGACGAAATAGGTGACTCCAGGAGAACATCAACTTCCCACCAAGACGACGATTCTTCAATTTATCCACCCAAACTGACAGTACATGAACATATATCCTATGCCTCCGGAGATACACAACACTAATGTCAAGAGGGTACAGAGTGCTATAACAATTAGTATTCGTCACAGCGACCACCGGGAAAGTACAACAACATATGTAGATACTTGTGTACGACGAGCGGACTGCCGACACATAGAGATCAATACCTCCTTTTATCGAATATGTCCGCCCTCTGAATCTCCACGAGTCGTTCTAGCCACACCGATACGTAGATACCTAGTGATGCAGTCGGGTGGTCCCTGTCCCGACGACCGTCGGACTTGCTACCTATACAAACCCTATGGTACCCGATGGTCGTCGTGGTCCCGGAGGGGGGAGGGGAGGTGGGGCGAGGTGCCGTCTGTGTGTGTGGCCACGACGTTCGATGATACAGTGAAACTAAGGAACTACGAATCTTATCGTTCTCAAGAACCTATCAGGAAGACTAATCAGGGATGATCCTTTCATCTGTGTTTTTTTGTGGACTGACGAACCCCCACCCCCCACAAGAATAGCGGTTTATACCGATTCACCGAAGCGGATGGCGGCGGGGATGCCCGTTTAATTCTACAGTCGAACATGTCTATACACTTACGCCGTTCTGTATCAATGTGAGAGCGTTGTTTACTAACTACATTCGGTAGATTGGGTAGTAATTTCGGAGTTCACCAATGACAGCGTGCAGACGTGACGTATAAATGAACATAACGGGATGACACTGCCTTGTTTCTACTAGACGCACGCTAGTGTTCGTTGCGAGCGCACCTGGATGAATTACAGCCCCTAATACGCCTTCCCTACACCTTGGGAGGTAGACCAGAGGGAGACTGGTGACACTGATACCCAAAAATCATCGAAGAGTGTTTTTCTTTTTGTAAATGTCTTTATCCAAAACGTTTCGTTAAACCCTTGTTTCACGAACGAGAGAATCATGGCTGCGGAATTAGTGACCAATTTGTTACTTCGCGCTTGTAATTTCCGATTTGTCTAAGAATTGGTGTTGGTAAGTTACCTCTGGTGTGCGCGGTGTTACTTTCGGACCCGGTAGGGAGTGCGATAGTGGCTGTAACTAGGTGTACGGGAAAGTTGGAGACGAAAAAACTTTTTTCAACGACCGCCAAACCTCCACCATTTTTACTAGGGTCTTTAGTTTTACGTAAAATTATTCCGTTTTTGGTTATCAGGTAATGTAACCCAATTTTATTCCACAAATACGTCTTATGGCTACGTTGCATAGAGCCTTCGCAATATCTCTTCTACATCTGGCAGGCACGTAAAAGGGCATGTAGTCAGAACCCTGTCCCTTCTTTATCAAGTTCCTACAATACTTTGTTCTAAACCCACTTCTCTTCCCGAAAAAGGGGTACCCTAGTCTTGATGAGCGACTTGAGGTGCATGGCCAAGGCGTAGGAGTGTGTAGTGTAGGAGACACCTTGAGTAGATTTATGTTGCCATGTCGTGGATATACAATGACTCCGCTCTAATTCGCGTCTGCAGCTAAGATCTCGTCCGTTGAGAGGTTGGGTTTTATCTGAGGAGCGGGTACTTGAGCTGCTGGATAGTGGGTAGATTCGTCTACGGTATCTACAGTTATACATTCTACCGTTGGGTGGCTCTTTCTTAGGTGAGAGGAGGTGTACGAATCTTGATCTCATATCATACTTGACATTTACATTCGATATTACTACGCTGTTCATCTTTTTATACTCAACGCAGATTGGACAATCAGGCTACCCCGAGTCGTGGACAGACCACGATCCACTTATAATTCTCTCGTTCCCCCCGAACCAAGACCCAACATAAGAGGTCGCGTGTTGAAGCCTTACTACAATGATCTCCCTTCCCTACGATATGGGGAGGGTTTTACTCGCTACGGAACCTATCAGAAAATCAGTACGAACAACCAAAAGGGTGTGACCTAGAAAAACAATTGTGCAAACCAACCGAGAAATAACAATCCACACAAATCTAATGTCATAGCGTATATTACAAGATTTTGTGCTAAACCGTGTCGACCTTCTAGGGTGGATGATTACTGACGGAAGTATGTGCGGTCACCCGACAAAACGCCTCAATAGTTTACCCCAGGACGGGTCAAAAAAAACTACTGTAAACATAACGTGGGTTCAATGGTCAAAGATCTCCGGACTACCATGTATACAGGAGGCTCTGGAGACGGTCAACTGATGAAGCAGAAACAAAGTAACCTAGCTGTGGTGAATAACACAGAGGATGAAGGCTCCAGTGAAGACAAGAGAAGGTGTACAGAAAGGGACAGACAAAGTGAGGAAAAGGACAGACAAAGTGAGGAAGCTGTAAAAAAAAGACTGAGAAAAGGTAATAGGCTCTGATTTGGCACCACCATAAGGCCTTTTCATTTCCATTTCCGTTGTATTCCACTTTAATACCTGCATATTTTGTAGTTGGTATGTATATTTAATTTTAAAATCTGCTGCTTATGTTATTTTTTGTGTTATACCATTTTATAAATGATTTTGTTGGTGGTAATGTTCACTTTATTTTTAATTTAAGAGGTCATGTATATTTAAGTTATATTTATTTGGATTTATGCATTCATGTTGAGAATGTTCCATTCATAAATGTTATTGTTAGGCATGTACACCATAAAAGATGACTATTGATATTTATTGTCAGGAATGTTAGTGTTATATCAAATAGTGAATTCTACTGCAGCAGAATGTTGCACGTCTGCACAGTGTTATATTTTCACAGCTCAGTGTCAGTAAATATTGTGCGGTTAGTATTGGACTACAAGACAGATGCAAGCCTGTACAGGTGGAGTTATTTAAAGCATAAATGAGTGGGTTGGGTTCTGGAGGTGTGGTTAGCAATTTTGCTTGGTTGGCGTGGCCTGGGCCTGGTGATGGGGGGGCCCAATTTGATATTTTTTCACGGGGCCCAAAATCCCTGGCGGCACCCCTGGGTGCAAGTATGAATCAATCTGAATTGATATTGACTAAATTATTAGTCCAATATCATGGTGAAACCTGGCGATACAATTTACATATATATTTGATTTGTAAGCATTGCAGCAAAAAATACTACAACCCAGTTTCACGGTATTTCGTGTTAGTCACGGAATGTGTTGTAAAACCCCTGGGCGAAAGTGTGATGATTTTGTTATGCTGTATGGCTATATACAGTTCATCGTTTAGAACATTTAAATAGCTGTCTTTGCGATACATTGTGTCTTTAAAACATTTTAAGGGACTAAACAAGGACACAACTGATGAAACTGAGGAACAAGGGGAACTCTTTATCAAACACTGAGGGTAACGAGAAGACGGTTTTCATGCGAGATTTGAGCGGAACGCGAGATCTTTCTGGTATCCAAGGAGACGACGGCAGCGTACATTGTGTTGAGGAAGGGGCGGTGTGTTTTCCCTCTGGTAATGTTTGGGCTTAGCAGAAAACATTTTACACCATGGACCTGTCGGAGACCATCAGAAAACGTTTAGAAGACTTCTCTCGGAATGTGTTGTTCGACCAGAGTCGGTCTCTGCCTGTCGCCAGAGAGAATGACACGTTTCTGCCACACGGTAAACCCAGCTAAAGATACATTAGCATTGATGTTAGCTTACAAATAACAGCCTGGGTTGAGCTATATGTGTCTCTCGCGTAGTTTTATAGTAGCTGCTGCTTAATATGGGTTGGGTATGTTATCCATGTTTCTTTGTTTTGTTTTCCAGGCAAGAAGGTTCTGTCTAGCCTCCACCTCCAGATGTCTCTGTACTTTAACATGTGGTTCTTCCCCCTGTGGTGGATCAGTGAAACTGTAATGCTGCAACTCAAGGTAAGCCATGCAGAGAGAAAGTCAGGTTAATTATAAAACTAAATCATCTTGTTCCCCCCACCCACCCAAATAAATAAACAAGCACTGTGCACACTTGTTGTGGGGAACAACTGGGGAGGTCAATAAACGTGATTTGTTATTTAAAAGTAAGGAATATGAAAAATATAGACCTTGATATAACATTTAAAATGACCTTTATTAAAGAAAATGCTGCTGCCATATCGAGAAATTCCCTCTGGTTTGACGATATCTCTGTGGAGAAAAAAAAGAGGATGGGCCAGACATGGTCCTTACTATAAATTATGTTTTGCTGATTTGATAACATTTATCTACATTATCTACATAGAAAAAAAGACTGCAATGGAATACCAAATAAAATGATTTGAAAAAGATTTAAGGATTAAAAAAAAGAAAAGAAAGTGTGGTTGGAGGTGAGTAAAATAGAGGGGGTGAAGACATAGGACTAATGGGAAAGACAAATGTTATCATTTATAAACTTTAATTGTTAATTGATCAAGTTGTGTAAATGCGTGATAATTGGGGTCGCCAATATGATTCAAATAATAGTCTATTTAAGGAGGAACTGATTAAATTCCCAGACTCAATTGAATAACGGTTTGGCCATCAGTAGTAGTTTCACATTGTCAGACTGCATGACATCCTCTTCTAAAAGTCAGTTCAAGTAACACAATAAGCTCACCAAGCAGATGGATGTGTATCACCACTTCTGTATGACCGACAGACAATTAATCCTTGTAATATGCATTATTTTTTAAATACCTTTGACGCAAAACGTTGTACTTCCCAGGAGAAAAGTATCAGTGACCAAAAGAAGCTGATTTAAAATGTTGAGGTAGCAGCTAAGTGAACAAATGATCCCCAAAGGCTGATTCTTATTGTTGTCAAATTCAGGCGGTTATTTGTTGTTTTTACAGGCATTCATTTCAAGTGAACTGTAAACAAGTCAGACTATTTCCTAATTTCATAAAAGTCACTTACAATAATGTCTTTAACTTAAATTCAGTTTACTTAACTTTATTGTTGTATTTGTCATTTCTACCAGTATCCTGCCTTGCCAGACTACTACAAGTTCATCCTTGTCACAGTTCTCATCGTGATGACTCTGATCGAGGCCATTAGACTCTTTCTCGGCTATGCTGGGAACCTACAAGAAAAGGTGGTGCATCACTCACACAAATGTAAAGATACAGTTGGAGGGAAAATGGGTCAACACTCACCCACAGGCATGTCTATGGTATTGACATGTTGTGAGTCTCTTTGTGCAAATAACCCAATTTGTGTTCTGTGAAACTGAAAAGGATATTGTATTGTTTTTGTTACTTTCGTTGCAGTAGTGTGTCTTAAATGTAATTTAGGTTAATTTATTTAGATGCTTTTATTTGGAAGGCGAGTTTACGCTGTTAACAGGAAGTTGTTGTTGCTATGGAAACAACATGACGGAGAAAAGGAATATCTTCTACATATAAAGACGGAGAAAGTAAAGAATAAAGTGTATGTTTAAATGTCAGCACCCCCCGAAGAGGCACAAGCTCTTACGTTGATTCTGGAGCTTCAATCAATTCTAAATCATCAGTAAAGTCTACGACCATATTTCGGAGGGATATGCTACACTTTGGATAAAAGCGTCTGCCAAATAACATAATGTAATGTAACCCAACAGACAGGAATTAATGTAACGTGTGTGTTTGAAAGGTCCCGGAGCTGGCTGGTTTTTGGCTGCTGAGCATCCTTCTGCAGTTCCCACTAATCCTCTTTCAGCTCTTCAATGAAGCCATTCTCATTCAACCCTTGGAGAGGGGGGTTCACATAGTTCTCGCCATATTCATACTCACACAGGTACCATAGCATTCCTTTTCAAAACTGACTTCAATTGTTTTTGCATATACTTAAATGTTATGTTGAGCATGTTTTCTATATTTGGCGTTGGTTGATTGTCACTGCTTTAATTTGTATATAATGTTTAATTTATTCCTGAATGATCCAGGCCCTCTTTGGGTTCGTGGCGCTGCGGGACCTGGTCAGACACACAGAGAGGCAGTTTCATCTCCGACAGTTTGACTGAATTCTGAAGCTGCGTGTCTACCACACATCTGTACTGCGCACCTCCCAGACTCAGACAACAAACAATAATGTGCCTTTTTTGGTATTACATGTCGTACATGGTAACATTTCTCACCTCAATTGAGTATCAAAGAGAACGTGAACGTATTTATTTTTATATTGTACCCACATTAATTGTATTGTTTTTTTTTGTAGCTTTGCAATAAATGAATCGTTTAAAACACACAGCCTGTGTATCATTTATTAGGCAACTAATGCAACGTATGGTAGATACAAGACCAGCATTGTGTAGCCATCATTGAACAAAGGTTGCCATATGAATGCAACATTAGTAGTTTAACTTGCATTATGATATCTGTGTGAAGGAGGTCATAAACAGAGTATTTTCGTGTGTTGAATTAATGAACCTTTAAAAAAAAAAGTTGAATCTGTAGTTCCAAATGTATAAATATCCCGCCCTACAGTGAGGCAGAATGTGGGGACAGTGTTACCATTGTCTTTCTTATCTGGCTCTCTCTTCCAGAGTGATAGTGCCTGATGTCCTTATTAGTCTGAAAACTACGGAGGGAGTCACTCTGTGGACGCTTAGGCACCATCTGCATGAGGCCAGAAGGCTTTGAAGCAGGGGATAAAACACCCAGGTGCCTCTTGTCCTCCACGGTCTCTTTGCAGTATCTGAGGATATTGAAAAAGATAAAACAACAAGTTTTAAAAATTGTAAACTGTAGTCATATAACCATTGCACAAACACCAGTGCTTATTTCCTGATATCTTAACTGCAATGGCAACCGGAGTATTTAACAAAATGAGCTAATGACAGACAAAGACAGAGAAAAAGAGCCCAAGAAGGTTCAAAATGAATTTACTTTTTCCATCTCAGGTCTGTGTCTCTCAGAAAAGGCACAAATAATCTGCTGCACGATTCAGTTTCTCTCTGCTTCCGTTCTCCCAGGGGTAAACATCTCATCAGTGAGAAACCTACTGAAGAAAAGACAATATCAGATCATCAAGACAGGAGATCAGCTAACTGATAAATAAATTTAAAAAACGATATTTGTGTCCAAAAGATTGAAGAAACACCTTTTGCATGACACTATATTCACAAGAAAGTTTCAAAAATAATTTCAGAAACTAGAACAATATATGTGCTTATTGAAACCTTCTGGGGAATCTCCTTCCTCTTCCTCGCTCTGCCGCTTGGTGTTTGTTGTGTCTGCGTGTGAGAGGAAGGAATCCTCAGGCACAAAGGAACTTTCTGAGTTTCTGTCTCGGAAAGCGTGCAGAGTGTCAGTTCGGAAATTTGACAGCAAGCGTTTGGTTGGAACAATTTCTGGAACCATCTTGAGGTACATGGAAGACCTGTGAGAGAAGAGAGACAACACTTTATGAATCTGAAAGTACGTCCTCAACATATACTGTAGTTATCTGCAACCTATTGATGAGGATACATAACGTTTCTATAAGGCTCACCTGTCGGGCGCTGTAAGGGAAGGTGGCAAACCTGAAAGAAGGAGACACGTTTCAGTAAGAGCTACACTTTGAGTTGAATGACTGAGAGATGATGAAGCTTTTTTAATTGAATTCAGTTCAAGATCTACTCTGCATGCGGACACACCTCTGTAGACATTATAGGGGACCAAGGATTGTCGGGGGCAGCGATTCTGTCGGTTGTTGGGATGCAGGACATTTGGAGACTGAGGAAGGACGGCACTCAGGTGCAGCAGCTGAGAGGAGCATCTCCACTGTCCTGTAGACAGGTCATAGTCAAATATACAGCAGACTGCTACACAGTACTTTCCCCATGCTCTGATGTACTTAGAGGACAACAACTGCCATCAATAATAATATTCTCCTTATCTTTTAATTTGAACAAAAATCAGTCCCGATCATTACATTTTCATGCATTTTTAGAATTTAGAAATATCTAATATCAGTTTATAGATAATGCATTGTTTTTCATTGGATTATTTTCTGCATACCAAATGCTTGGGAGAGATTTTCGTTTGATTTCACAGTCTGTATACTATGTTAGTGATAAGAAACAACATTGAATTTGAAAAATAAAACACAAATATAGCAGCATAACCACCTTTGGGGAAATTAGGAAGTTAGCATGTGTTGGACCCACAGGACAAATGTGAGAAAAAGGCTCACTCGGGTTTCAAAGGGGACATATATACCCTAATGTCTAAAGGGGGGGGGGAATTACACAAAATAATGTTTAAAAAGGGTTTAACTGCACTTACGAGTCGGTACCAACGAGTAAACCATAACTAAAAAATAAGGCACTAAATGGATGTAATTGAGAATTAGACGCAGAGGGCGCATTACCTGTGTTAGTGGCCACAGTCCTGTATGTGCTGAGATGTGGACATTCTTTTACGCTCAAATGCGGGTATGCAGATTTCAAGTTTCCATACTCCTAAAACACAGAAATGTAGCAAAATCCAGTGGAAAATTACAGATTGTGAAATACTGACAATACTTGAAGAAGGTATGAGAGGCTCTTTACCTTGACAGGCTCGCTGCCCTGCCACAGAGTCACATGACTGACCTCTCCTGGGTGGGTGGAGTGAGACGGGATCACAGCTTTCTTTATCAGCCCATTCACCTTCCAAAAGAAAGAAATATTAGATAGGGACGGCTATGAAAATCTTCTTTATTCTCTTCACTGTCTGGCTGTCAACTCCTAAACGTATCAAACTCTTCAAACAAAGGTTGTAATAGTTTGCAATGTAATCATGAGGACATTTTCAGAATACAATCAGATTTCAGAGAGATTTAGTTTTTGTATATTTATTTGTCCTGTAAGGGCTAGCTATAATGTCTCAGAAGTATGAAGCTGCAGTTTGTAACTGTGTAGGAAGGATTATAATGTTGACATCTTTGGAACTAGTCACCTGTATCTCCATTCAGACCCCAGTTGAGCTAAACAAGCTTGGTTGAATGTCATTTGATCTTACTAGAATATTTAAGTTGTTTTAAAGTTTTTTTTCTGCATGCAAAGGTCGAGTTGACTAGCTGTTTATTTTTTTCAGTAGTAATATAATAGAGTTAAAACATATGGAAATGAATTAAAGTTAATTTGAATTATTTTTCCCAAAAACATTTAAACAGGCAATATTTATTCAATTTAGTTTTAGCTCTCTTAGTTTAGTTCCTGTTAAACCAACATTGTTTCACTGCCTTTTATGATTTAATTTCCGTTGTAGTATTGACCTGCTTCATACCTTCCATGTTTTCCTGTGTCTTTCAACAGGCCTCTCCTCTTTAACATTTCCCTCTCGTGGCAGGTTGAAACCCTGCAAAGACCGTTAGTCTTGTTAACCACACTAAAGTGTGAAATAAATAACGCATTATTTAGTATATCACAATATTAGTATACTTACAATATTGGTTGTGCTGCGTTGCAGAACTTTGGGCTGTTCTTTAGTCCTCCCTTCCTCTGGTCGCAGCCTGTTCCTCTCTTTATAACTCCTCATGCGTTTATTTTTCTTCTTCACTGGAGTCTGCTGAGGAATAGAGAAGCAGAATGAGGTAAAGTAATACAAGAGAAGAACATGATTCAAGGCCCATTTCACAAAGGGATCCAAATGTAATACAAGCTTTACAAAGACATTAAGCAACTGTATAAAACAATACTTCATGGAAGAGTAGCGAACCTCTGTATGGTTCATCAAATGAGCTGGGAGTCCGTCGGAATCAGAACTATTTGAACCACTGGTGCTGTGAAAGCAAACAAACAAATAACAGTCTTATTAGGCTGATTGAGAGCACATTTATACATATCATATTTTGTACAAGTTATGCATATTTTATAAACAAATAAATGACGATCACCTGCTTTCCAAGTCAGACACAGAAAAGTTACATTCAGTGCCCAGATCTTTGCCCAGCCTCTCGCTGACCTGCTTCCTGAACAACGCTGCCAGCTCTGACAGACAGTAAGTGGTCTGAAAAAAAAGCACAGGGATAACACAAAAGACAGCTACACCCACACCCACACCCACACCCACCCACACACACACACACACACACACACACACACACACACACACACACACACACACACACACACACACACACACACACACTTGGAAAGTCTAAACTCACCCAGAGTGGAGCCTCCGAAGGTGGCCTCCATGGTGTAGCTGTTTTTGATGCCGAGTCTCCACATGGCGATTCGTCCGGTTCCCTCTTTGCTCTTCTGAACCCGAAACTTACAACTCTTAAAAGAGAACTGATGAAAAGAGTGATCAAGATGTTACAGACATTTTAAATAAACTGACGTTATAGTTTTTATTTTTACTAATAACCATGCTGTCATGATATAAATACAAGCCCAATGTGACTCGGACTACATATATGTTACAAAGAGTTTTTGAAAAACAGTTCCTAACCTTATCACCGGCATTCTTGCTCATCATCAGTGGAAAGAGTCTCTCATGAAGCTTCAGCGAGGCGTCACCTCGGTTGTTACATCCGTACATAAAGACATTGTTTTTACGGTTGTGTCCATGAAAGTCACAGTAAAGAACGACATCCGTCTCAGCCATCAGCCTGGGGGGTGGGGGAATCAATCATGAAAGTGCCAGAATACATTGTGGTTTGTTTTCAGAATCCCAAATAGAAACTTGTACAAGAGAAGTAGGAAACGTGCAAATAGAGGATGAGCCATTTTTGGATGGAAGCCTTTAAAAAAGTTCTTCTTTCTAATAAAAAAAACAGTTTGATTTCGCAGAACTAAACTAATGCATTGTATGTATCAAAGGCGGCTCATTTAGAATGAGACTGCTTATCTTTTACATCTATCCCTCCTGTTTCTTAACCTTACAGCAATGAATTGAAGCAGATATATTTGATCTAGTATAAAGGAAAAGCCCCTTTTTGTATAGATCAAATCCAGTAAAAGTTAATGCAGTGATATCATTTTATAACTGGACTGCTTTATGCAATAAAGTAAGCAAGTAAATGCAGACTAAATTCCACAATCGCTGTTCATTGCAAGTTGTGCAGTGAATTACATTTTTTGTTTAGTTCACTTGGGTCGTAATCTGTGAGAGTCTTAATCCCTACTCAACACAAACTGGCTGCTCGCTGACACAAGCAGAACAGCTAAAGAATGATGTGTTGTATCCTGAAAACAAATAATTATAAATACGACATGCACATTTTTAGCAATTTACTGGATAAACATGCACAGTCCACTGAGGATGCTATCTCCTCTGCTCTTCACCCAGCGCTCACCCACCTGGACACTAAAAACTCTTATGTTAGGATGCTGTTCATAGACTTTAGCTCAGCGTTCAACACTATCATCCCCCAGCAGCTGGTTTGCAAGCTAAATAACCTGGGCCTCGGCCCCTTTCTCTGCAATTGGCTGCTGGACTTCCTCACTGCCAGACCCCAATCTGTACGGGTCGGCAACAACACATCAGGCACCATCACACTCAGTACGGGAGCCCCCCAAGGGTGTGTGCTCACACGACTACCTGGGTGGTGCCAACTAGTTCACCAACCTCGACACCCACCGACACGTCGAGCGACCCCGTCGTCCACTTCTC